TGGTGGTTTTGTGTGTGTTGTTGTATGCCCGTCTTTTTGTTCTGTTTGTGTGCGAGCCCGTTGGTTTTGTTGTCCGTTGTGTGTCACGCATTTATTTGTGGCGTTTGCCGTTAATGCGCTGCTTGCCGGGCTTGCCGCGGGCATCTTCCCGTGCCTGGTATCCTCCCGTGCCGGTACCGAAGGGGCCTGGCATGTGTCTGACATGTTCCTCCGTGGCAGTCGGCAGCCATGGATACCAAAGATGCCATGGATACGGTGTTGGGAGGTTCTGAGACGTTCCGAGGCTGTTCAATGTTCTACCGTGCAGTGACGTGGAGCTCGATTCCCGCTCGATCTCCGCCGTCCGTAAGTGGACAAATGTGGGTACAATTTGGACAAAAAAAGTGGGTCGAAATATAGACAAAAGTGGGGAGTCTAGATGAAAATATTAGTTGACGCCGGTGGGTATACCCACCGCGATGTCGGACAGAAGTGGGCACTCTGGTGAGGCCCTGCGCGCCTCGGCGGTATTAGGGCCAAAGGTGTGCCTGAAAGTGGGAAAAAATCGATGCCCGTGCTGTGTATGGTCCCTGGCTGGGTCGCGCAGGAAACAGTCCAACAAGTCGCTATTGAGGCTCATTATTAACGCAACGGAATATTCACGCATTTTTTAACGGAACGGTGACAAGAAAACCTGACTTTTTTTTCGCTTGTTCTGTTCGTGATGTCATCGCAAAAAGTACGTTTCCTTCCCTGAATGCACGGTTTGCGCGGCACACAACAGACAACAGGTTGACTTAGATTTGCTCACCAGAGAGCAGCGGTAAAAGGGCAATGAGCAGCACCCGACCCAAAGGACAGCACACTCACAAAGATAGATAGATCCCGTCCACCCGCCCAGTTTTCAGCAACAACAGGCGCAGGGCGGAGTGTCGCAACCAGCGTGTTGCTTGCGATTTCTTCAGTTTGCTCATTTTTCACGGTTGCGACTCCCATCTTTGACCACCACCTGCCCAAAGGTAGACGAGCTCAACAATCACAGGGCGGCAGCCGCGCTGACAACCAACATCATATGGATGGCCAATCCGAAAGATTTAGCGTGTCGAAGGCCCTGTTGCTCTACTGCTGCGTGGTGCCGTGGATTGTGTTGATGTGTCCGACCAAAAACAGATAATCTCGCCGCATTTTTCCAACGGCATTTTGGTGAGGTGGCACACGTCTCTCACACACCTAATTGAGCAGCACCCGAGCCCCCAATACCCATGAAGCAGCACGGCGCCGGGAGTGAGTATTATATATAAATCTCCATCAAAAGCAGCAGCAGTTGAAGACAAGAGCACCACGCAATGTCTCGTTTTGGATCAAGAACGGATTGAATGCCGTTTCTGCCTCTTGTCCGTCTCCACAACAGACCTGGACGTGAGTTTGGCAGGTCTTGCGAGCGTTCTCAGTGATGTTACAGCGCCCGCGGTGCGCCTGCCCGACCCTTGTGTCAAATTCCCCGGATCCGTGAAAGCAGCAAGCTCCAAAAAAATACTGCTCGCTACTTGCACGTATCGAGGGAAAAACGCCTCCATATATGTTCAAGAAAACACGCTTCCGTGAAATGTTCCGTGTTTATATGGTCGTTAACAATACCCCTGTGAGGGTTCGACCGGTTTAGCGACCACCACTAAACCGGGTTCAGCGGTGTCAAGAGATTTTGGGGTCGCTGAACAGGGCATGTCGCTAAACAACAGGAGGTCGCTAAACCGGGCCCCCCACTTTATGTACAACGGACCCTTTTCTCGACAAGTTGTTGTCCTGTTCTCGCCGTCGCGCGCTCTCGTTTTTGCTCCTTGAAACCCTCGCCGTTTTGATTCATGATGTCTCGCGATCTGTCTAACCTGATTGAGAGCAAGCTCACCCAGGCGGAGTTCAATGAGCAAGGGTGACAGCCTTCAAGGTTCTACCATCAGTCGGGACCCAAGAGGCCTAAACACACTGCCTTTTGCTCCCACTTAATTTTGTCGGAGATTTGCCACTTGATTGCTCGACATAGAAAAACAAAGATGAGACGATGTTTTCTTTGATTTGCGGTGAATCAAACGGACAGCAGACGTTTCTCTCACCTTTGGGCGAGATACGCGCAACCGACCTGAAAGTTGTTAACCAGCGTAGATTTATGCGCTCATCACGAACGCGTCGCTACACATGTCGCTGCACACGGGAGCCTAAATGCTTGCAAGCGCTGCAGCAGCTGGCGTGCTGTGTTGCCTTTTTCGGCTGTCTAAAGTACTACAAGGGAGATCCGGTCCATCGGTGCTTGATTTTCCGTTAGAAAACGAGCAAGCAAAGCCCTTCTCCTGATGTCAGGTTTGCTCCTTTCACAAGCGAGTTAGGTTTGGGATTAAACGAAGTGCCCAAGAGACCCAACGTTTTCACGGACGGAACGTGATCACAGCAGTTGGGAGCCAGCAAGTTGTTGCCTTTATTCTTGACCCAAGAGGTAAGAACTTGATTGCAATGTATTCCCTTCTCGCGTTCTCGTTGTGGATGTTTCTGTAGACCGGATCATCGACTTGAATCGGACAGCGAGACGCAACACTAGCTCCTGTGGCCCACAGGCCACGCCGTAGCGCTACGCCGATCTATTCCTTACGGGCATCCGGTTGTTCGGAACCTGCTGGTCTCTCGAAACGTTGAGTATTGCGGCCACAGTTGTACCTTGAAGCAACCGGAGCGAGTGTCTAACCATTCCTTGTTCGTAGGCTTGCTGAATGCATGTTGGACGAAAACAATTTCGTATTCACCCGCGATATTTCCCATCTACATTCCACGCTCGTTACTCCTTCAGAAAACCGTTCATTGCTTGGAGCTTTGTGTGACAAAGGCTAGTAGGACCAGGAAGACTAACAGCCCACTCTCAGCGCGCCGGCTTCTGCAGGCAGCAAACGTTACGCGTGCTTGTGTGGGGTACAAGCTTTTCTCTGCCTCAAACCAACGACTTGGGAAGATCCGGTCTATTGGGCGAAGTTGCTGCGGTGGCGCATCCCCTGTGCCTAGCTTGTTCGCAGCAGAAAAACGTCTCTCGTGGAGGTGTTCTATAAAGTGGGAAAAGATTGACACAAATCTTGAAGCAACTCGGTTAGCTTGACGTACAGGATAGCTCCAAGGAACAGAGTCGTCGAAACTGGAATCTGATGCTTGGCTACATTCCGGTCTCACCCTGGCCCTGCCTGACTCATTTCGTTCAGATCGATGGCGGAGAAACCTGGATTGGGCGCGGATGGAGGCGCGTTACTGACCGAAGACCCTAACGTTAACTACGGCACAAAGAGGTAGTTCGTCCTTCCCTGCTGTAATCAATCGTGGTAGCCAGCAGCCAGGGCCCTGTCCACGTACCGAACGAAACCCAAAACGAGTGGCGCAGCAAACAGGAGACACAGAGTTGCAGGAAACTTCAATCCTCGGCGTAAGACTGCATCTGCTTGAAAAAGCAGTATCGTATGGCTACATGCAAAGGGAAGAGATTGGCACGCGTCTTGGAAGGTGCTTCGAGCCGTGGCTCAAGCAGCAACTTGGAGAACAACCAAGAACATATAAAGGAGTTGCACCTCACGGAGGACGTTACCCAACGACTGCTTGAGGTGCAGATAGCGCTGAGAAATAGAGCCACCGAGGCTAAAATATGAAAGTGTTTCGTTCTGGTGTCACTCTCAAACGATATCCTCCAGCGCGGTGACGGAAAAATCTGGATTGGGCTCCGATGGAGACGGGTTATTGGCCGACGAAGACGATGCCCAACAAGGACATGGTGAGGTGACCCCAACCACGCTACGGCCGGGGGAAGAAAGGCAAGGTGTGTTCGACATACGTCTTAACAGTACACCGCCTGCTTAGATTCGTGTGTGTCGGTCTTTTTTATGAAGGAAGCAGAGTGATCCCTTCAAGACTCATTTATCACGCACTTGAGACAAGAACTCGGCACCAGCCTTTTCCTTCAACTGATATTGTTGCGCCTCTATTTTGCGCCTCAGGACAGTCGACCCCGCTTTGAGGACGCACATGGTTTTTTCCGAAAAAAAGCGTCCTTAAAGCGGGGTTGGTTGCGTCTGAAAGGTTAACTACGCGGGGTGCGGCAAGCCCTTCCTGGGCGTTACTTAGGGCACTGGGTAGTCGGCCGTGTTAGGCCGACAGTGGGAGGTTGCGAGAGAGGTGGAGAGAGAGTGGGAGAAGGAAACTTGATTGGAGAGAGACGGCGGTAGCGGTGGAAGGAGAGAAGGAAGAAACAAGTGCGCAACACGCACGCAAGCCTCATCGTTCCAACCGTGCCACAAGGGTGCCCGTGACTGAACCGATGGTACCCTACAACACACGAAATTCCCAACATGTATCCCCTTGGGACCCTCACGACCAGATACTGCTGCGAGTATATCTAACATCCCCCCTGCTCGCAACAGTTTCTCACTGCAAACTTCGCTAACATCCGATATCTCAACCAAAAGACGTCTGTTCAAGAGTAGACTATATTCATGTAGAGTATGAGACATTAAGTGAAAGTTATCTGAGGTACATCTGCAATTGTCGGAAGAAAAAAAAAAATAGACCATATGCCATCAAGACTAGACTATACCAAAATGTAAGAAAGAAAAATCGTTCAAAGAAACATGAGTGAATGCTGCATCGCGCGTAATGAATACTTGGCGCGAAAAATGAAAGCAAACCAAAACACAAACCACAAANTTCTCACTGCAAACTTCGCTAACATCCGATATCTCAACCAAAAGACGTCTGTTCAAGAGTAGACTATATTCATGTAGAGTATGAGACATTAAGTGAAAGTTATCTGAGGTACATCTGCAATTGTCGGAAGAAAAAAAAAAATAGACCATATGCCATCAAGACTAGACTATACCAAAATGTAAGAAAGAAAAATCGTTCAAAGAAACATGAGTGAATGCTGCATCGCGCGTAATGAATACTTGGCGCGAAAAATGAAAGCAAACCAAAACACAAACCACAAAAAAAACAATAAACGTTCATGCCAAATTCATCACAAAATCACGGTGAGACTCGAAAGTGTCCTCCGGCAAGCTCTTCGTAAGAAAATCTGCACGCTGGTATGGCGACGGCACGTGGATCACCGAAATTTTCTTCCTCTCTACCAGTTCCCTGAGAAAATGGTGCCTTACATCTATGTGCTTCGAGTTCGAGTTTGAGATGGGGTTCTGCGCTAGTTGAATCGCCCCCTGGTTGTCGTCGAAGACTGGGATGCACGGCATGCCGACCTGCGGCAACATGAAACGCCAAATCTGCCTCAAAAACAAGATCTCCTTCACTACGTTACCAAGCGCGACGTACTCTGCTTCTGTCGTCGAAAGCGTAACACACTTANGCCTAGCGCGACGTACTCTGCTTCTGTCGTCGAAAGCGTGACGCATTTTTGCGTTCTGGAAAACCAAGACACAGCGCCTCCTCCACACGTCACGATCCCCCCTGATACCGACCTACGGTCTGCTGCCTTGCTTGCAAAGTCCGCATCAGCGTATCCCTGCAAGCTGAATCCCTCTACCGTACCTCTCTGAAACGAAATACCAAAGTGACTCGTCCTCCTCGCATAGCCCAAAATATCCATCGCTGCATTCCAGTGTACCAGCTTCGGAGATGCGCAATACCTAGCTACTGCCCTTACTGCATTCGCAATGCCTGGCCTAGTCTGAGTCGCCAGCCACATCAACGATCCGACTAGTTCACGAAACGGAAAGTCTGTCGCCACTTCATCCGCATCAAAGTCAGAAAGCTTCACCCCCGAAGACATGGGAACGCTCTTACCTCCCACTACTCCATACTCTGCTGCTAGCTCATCCGTGAAAGTCTGCTGAGAAATCGTCAACCTACCGGTCTCCTTATTCCTCTCGTAAAAGCACCCAGAATACCATCTCAACTCTCCCAGGTTCTTCACTGGCACGGACTTGTTAAGGTCAGCGCCAAACTTATCACATCTCTCCCTCTCTCCAACAGCAAAGATGTCATCTACATGTACAACCAAAATCAAAACAACACATCCATCCTCAATCAAACGAAACACACAAGCATCGGCCATGCACTGCTCAAATCCTAACGCCACCAAACACCTCTTCAGCATTGCATGCCACTGCCTAGATGCCTGTCTTAAGCCATACAGACTCTTGCCTAGTTTTACAATCATTCCTGATAGAGCTCCACATCCCTGCGGCAAACGCATGTACACGTCTTCCTCCAACTCCGAACGCACAAAAGCTTGCTCAACATCGAAATGACACAAGTCGAGGTTCAACTCGCACGCCAAAGCAGCCAACATCCTAACACATGAAACAGAAACGGTAGGTGCGTACAACTCTCCAAAGTCAATGGACTCTCTCTGCATGTCACTTCTCGCTATAAGTCTCGACATAACCTTAGTGGGCCATCCAGACTAATCTGCCTTCCAATCGAAGACCCACTTAGCGTTAATTGCGTTCTCCACTAGTTGCTACTTCGCCGGAGTAAAAGTCCCCGCTTCCAACAAGCCATAAAACTCCCTTTGCATAGAGTCGCTCCAAAGGTGCCGGTGCTCCGACGCCATGGCCTCTTTGTAGCTCTTGGGGACACGAAGGTCGCTGGCCTGGCAATGCGGAAGGTCAGGGCGTTGCTCCGGCGGGCGCTGGTCTCGCAGCGTGGCGTCGATGTCTTCCCGGTTGGCGAGGAGCGTGGCAAATGCGAGTGGAAAGCCCGCTCCTGCAGCCCCCGGGTCCACTGCTGCGAGTGCTCCCGCCTGCTCTCCGGCCCCCGTTCCCCCCGGCTCCCTGCGCTCCTCATCCACCGCGCCCCGAGCCTCCAGTATCGACACCAGAGTATTCTTGTCTAGCATCGAGATAAGTCCTGTGCTGTGCCTTGTGCCCGATCTCGTGCGGCTTGGCAGCCGTGGGTCTGTCATACCCTCGGCCTTTGTACCCGGGCGAAGCTGCCGCATGGCGTGAGCCGTAAGCG